AGTGGGGGGGTGGGGGGGGGAAGTTGGTGGCCCTGATCGTGAAATTAGCATCTTTGCTGACGCTTTAATCCTGAGTCCCAGTGGCTTTCCTCTCCCCTTGGATAAAGATACTTTCAAAATTACACCTTAAATTTGTAGATCACTGGCTATTTTTCTAAAAAGCCCACGTCATCTAATGTGAATGACTGATTTTTGGGGGGAGGACAACCTGGCATTGCTTGTCAAATTTAAAAACTACTGGCCTGTTAACCACTTCTAGGATTTTACCTCCTAGATACACTTGGGTCATAGGACCAGGCACATATGAACTGCACCACCCTTTGAAACAGCAAAGTACTAGAAACAACCTGAATATTCTTCCATAGCGGGCAGGCTGATTAAGTTATACTATATCCATTCAGATGAATAATATTCAGCCTTAAAAAGAATACGGTGAATCTAAGGGTTTTAGTATTTGGGAAGATCTCCAAGATGTACTAACAGCAGAGCATTGCTATCGAGTGCTCCATTGCACATAAGGGATACAAGCACATACATTTTACAGATGTTTGTAGCTGTGCACAGACAACATGTGAGGGCCTATACACATTTGGAAAGGACAGTTTCTAGTGGCTTCCTCCGTGGAAGAGGCTGGGGCTGCTGGGCCGAGGAGGAAAACTTGTTTTAATTATATGTCCTTAAGACACTGGGGAAAGGGGAGGCTAGGGGACTGTCTAGGGCGGGGGGGAAAAATGGACACATATGTAATACCCTTTGTAATAAAAAATTAAAAAAAATTATATGTCCTTTACAATACTTAATTAAAAAAACATGCTTACATATCACTTTTCCATTTAAAAACTAAATAAAAGATGTTTGGCCCCTCTGCAACTACAGAGCAGAGACTGGGATTCGAGGGGAGGACAGGCATGCTATCCTGGATCACTCACCTGCCTTTGTCGTCCCTGCAATTGACAATGCTGGAATCGATGGCCCCCAGCAGCAGTGACGCACAATTCTCATGGTCATTTATTCTAAAACGAAAGTAGCATTAAAAACCTCACCACTTAAAAAGTTGTATGTCCCCTCCTAGTCCGTCTTCCCAGGCACTGTATACGTAACAACCTGATGGTGGCTGTTTTTTAAGTCTGATGCCAATATCTGTGGCCTATGTTCTGGTAAAACGTTTAAAGAAGACCATTTAGGTGATACAAACGAACTTTATTTAACACTTCCTGAAGAGGGCAGTCTCCACTCTGAAGATTTTGGAGAATCGCCTGCTCCAAGAAGGGTTGAACCCTGACCTAAGTTGCCTCCTTTGCTTGTCTGAACAGCTGTGGCGAGGAGGGTAGGACCTGAAACTGAAGGTCTTGGGAGGAGAAGCTCAGGAGGGCACCCTCTTGACTCCGAGTTCACTGGGAGCCGTGGGTTCGTCACTCTGGGATTTGAGCTCCACTCTCTCACAGATCCAAACAAATTATATGCAAATTTTTAAAGGAAAGAGGTTTATTAAGGTTCCTGGAAAGGTCCCGGGACAGTTATACTAAGAGTCCACAGCCAGGGACAGCTGCTAACACACTAACAAGGACTCCGAGAAATCAATTAAGACAAGAAATTGTGAGCAACGGCACCTCAAAATCTAAGTGGACACAACTCGGAACAAAATAGGTCCAGAGACATAGAAGCTTCGATTGTGGAATCTCAGACGGAAGGCAGGGGAGGGTGGGAGGTGGGAGGTGATCAACCAAAGACCTTGTCTGCATGTATGCACAACCCATGGTCACAGACAATAGGGGGTGAAGGCCTGGGTGGGGGGTGGGGAGTGGGCTAGCAGAGGTCAATGGTGGAAGGAGGGGGACGTATGTAATACTTCAACAATAGAGATTTAAAATAATAATAGTAAAGCCTTTAGGATGTCTGCCACTATATATATTAAAAAAAAACCTTGTGAGAGAAATAATAGGCCTATTGTTCATGGAATCGTGGAAGCCAAAGCTGAAAAACTGGAGGGCAAGGGTGGAGCGCTTCAAAGCTGTTAGAGAGCGCTGGCCACTCACATCACCTGTGTCAGGGCCAGCTGGTCAGGGAGCAGGCTGGATCGGCACTAGGTCACCCACCAACCTCAAGAAAGTGTCCACCTGGTGCCCATGACCCAGCAGGCTGACATGGAAGTCTGACTTACAGTCCCTGTACTCTCTGGACAATGGTTCACACATTGAGATTGGAGCAAAAATTACATATAAAAAACCTTACAACATACGAAGAAAGGGAATTACAATACATGAAAAGTCTTCCTGGTAGAAAATGTCTTTCTAATCATTCGCAGGCATATTTTTAGAATTTGGCTGCAGGTGTGAAGTATACCTGAAGAATATGGGGTGTCAGGTGCCCCTCAGGCCACCTCTTCCTGCAGTTTCTCTAAGGTGGCATGTAAGCCACCTTGGAGCCACGGCATTTCATAGAAATCTCCTGGAAATCATTAACATTAGGACCCACGCTTCGCTCTCAGACCTATTTGCCTTTAGCAGCAAAATGGAATACATTGGTCTTATCTGTAATGTGACAGCTTTTTCCTTTCCTAAAGGGCAATTTTTCTACGTGTCATTGAAGGAATTAAAGCAGCACCATTGACTTCTGGCATCTCTACTTACATCGCACAGTGCAGTGGAGTAAAGGGATTGCCGATAAATTCACGAAAACATTTCTGCTCCAAAAGTACCTCTATACAGTTTTCATTACCTGCAAGGAAGCAAAAGAATTTAGGAAGTTTCCAAGAGAGAAATTTTGTTCAACACAATCAATTTTTTTTGTTATTAAGAACTGAATTCTGGCTTATGCATTTTCCTGAATCGGCTGAATGCTCAACCTCCATGGAATGAAATTCACAAAATGCCAACATGTTATTGACTATGCTCACAGGAGTTCTGAGACATAATGAACAAATAAGACAATGAAAGCCATATGGTCTGATGGAGAGAACGAGATGGAGAAGGGATCTCATTTGCAAGCAGAATCAATTCTATGTTATGCTCAGCTCTTGATAGGTAGACATCTAACACACCTCAGTTTGCCCATATTTACAACAGGCAATTTCCCCTTCACCCATCTGAGTAGATTCACTTATAATTATGGACCCCAGTGAAGGGGAGAAGATGTGATTGATAGAAAATAGCAGATGAAAGGGTAAAATGCTGAGTGTAAAATACTGTATAAGTGTTTAAAATGGCACCAAGACCAGCTCCTGGCAAACAATGTGTACCCAATAAGTATTTAAAAAAAAATAAGTAGAGGAATGAATGTGAGGAATTATTTTCAACAAAATGACAAGTAGTTTCCAAATCAACTGAATTTAAGTTAAGGCCTCAGCTCTGTTGGCTTCCTTGTCACGTGATCCAAAGCAACTCTCTTGGGATCTGTGAGTCCCAATTTCTCATAGATAAAAAAATCAGATGAGGAAACTTGCCCTACTGATGTCACAGGATGATGGGAGCTTATGGATAAAGGACCTGAATGTGGTCTGTGAAGGGATGGACAGCTATTAATGCCAAACTATTTGGCTTTGGAATACAGACTGTTGTCCTGGAACCTCCTGTTGGCTGAACTCAGCTTTCTCATGATCTACCTCAGAATGACGAAGATCAGACAATTTTAAGTATTAAAACATAACCCAAACCTTTCTTTTACCTATAAAGAGAAAAAGGAACACTGCTTGAAGGAGGGTTAGAAACATATAAAGTAATGAACACAAAAATCCCCTAACTTTATGTAAGTTACACTCTTTAGCTTTCCACCTATACCCAACCCTCCCTTAAACACTTCACACCCTCTATTAGTATGAATCCACCCCCCCCCCCCGCCCCAGGATCTACTTAGGGAAGCGTCTACACACACCACTCTTTGGGACTCTGAACCCCAACCTAAGGGTCTGTGTAGATAGGACTGGGCATCCTTGAGTGACTTTCGGTATTTCACAGTGCTCGGTGAAGGGGATTCTGGGAAGATGGGAGCTTGACCCTCAGACCCGGAGGGAGACTGCATTGGAACTGCTTAGGGCAGGACTACTCCCCTCCCCTGCTTGCACCTGGAGAGGCCTCAGAACAGAGCCCTGCCACCCCTCTTTACCTCATCTCAGGGGAGAGGATGTGGTCGGTGAGTTTGCCACCTGCCATAAGACCAACACTCTGACTGCGCCTTCCCCTTCCTGCCAGAGAGATCTCTGGGTTTGACCCAGTTGGGGCTTAGGGGGCCCTCAGCCACTGGTAAGTAAAGAAACCCAGTCCTCCAGTAGCAGGGCGGGACCAAGCCAAGTTGAGAAAGTAGAAAATTTGGCTCTTCCTGGTCAGAGCCAATGACGAAAGAGGACTGTAATGAAAATGAAATGTAAGTTAGAGCACCCCATAGTTTCTGAGTGAAAATATTTTTAAAATATATTTTTATTTCAGACTGGAAGGGAGCGGGAGAGAGAGATAGAAACATCAATGATGAGAGAGAACTACCGATCAGCTGCCTCCTGCACGCCCCCTACTGGGGATCAAGCCCCCAAACTAGGCATGTGCCCTTGACCGTGGGACCCCTCAGTCTGCAGGCCAATGATCTATCCACCGAGCCAAACCGTCTAGGTGAAAATTTTAATATAAGAACTGCAAATGGAAAAATAAAATTATAGAAACAGAGTAGAAAATATATGGGAAAATATCCATATAAACTTACAGGTGGGAGACCTTAAGCAGGACTGGAAACCTAGATCCCAGCAAATAAAAATATGATGGACTCAACTACACAAACGTTCAAAATTTCTGCATGGAAAATGACATCATAAACAAAGACCAGAGACAAATGACAGACTGAGAGAAAACACTGGCAGCACATAGTACATGCAGGGAGGATTCCTATCTCTATGACAAGGCACTCCAGCAAACGCATGAGGAAAGAGAAAACTCATTAAAAATAAGCAATAGATGGAAAAGGTCATTTCCAGAAGACGAAATACCAATAAACACACTGTTAGACAGAGAAACACAAACCAAAGTAATGGGATAACCTTTTCTGCCCTTCACACTCACAGAAAGGAAAAAGATGCTATCTTCCTGGGCTGGCAAAAGCTTGGGGGAAATATAGGTCTTATTCATGTCTGGGGGAGTAATAAATTACACCTTTCTTGCAAAGTAACATGGTGTAATTTATTAAAGTTAAAAAAACACACATGTCCTCATCCATAGTTTCCCTTCTGGAAACTTATCGGACAGAATTAAGGTACATGCTATGAACAGGCACACACTGAAGCCTCGTTTTAACAGGAAAAAACCTGAAAACAATCCGAATGTCCATCCCCAGGGACCCTGTTGAATAAATAATAGATTGTGATACACACACACACCTACATTGATTTATCTGCTCTGCAATATACTAAGGAGATCAATCGTTATCGATACACAATAACTTGCAGGATATCTGCGATAGAATGTGCACAGAAGTCGATGCGGACAAAACTGACGCCACCCCTGGGTCCCGGATTTCTCTTCTGCTGTGACCTTCGATCAGCCTCACTGAGCAAGCCTATCAGAGCCTTGTAGTTGATGATTATCAGTGTTCCATAAAACCTACCATAAATGTTTTTGTTTGTAACCGCCAGAATGCCATGGCAACCAGAATAAATATTAACCTGGTGATAGGATCCATTATGAACCATCTTCTGTCGCAAGACCATCAGGAGGTATGGCCCCTGGTGCCACTGCATTCTTTTTTTTTTTTTAAATGTTTTTGTTGAATTTAGAGAGAGGAAGGGAGAGGGATAGAGAGAGAGAAACATCGGTGGGAGAAAAGCATTTATTGGCTGCCTCCTGCACGTCCTCCACAAGGGTGTGAGCCTGCAGCCAGAGCATGTGCACTGACCAAGAATCGAACCAGTGACCTCCTGGTTCACTGAGCCACACCGGCTGGGCACTGCTGCACTCGCTGACTGCGTTCTTTGTCCCTCTGTCTTGTCAATCATTAGCATCTGAGTTATACCATAAAAAGCACTGTAACGGGGGTCTCTTAGCAGAGAATTATCTGTGCAGGGTGCTGGGTTGCCTGTCCGCTCTGACCCTACCTCCCTGTAAGGAAATGGTCCTGTAATCCTTTCTGTTACAGTCTATGGAGTTGCCTACGTCGTTTTTCGTCTGCAGACATCTTCTTGTTCAGGTGGCCATTATACCTGTGCCCCACCATGTTAAATAAACAATAGCAAAAAAGAAAGTTATAGAATGATAGTTGTTCTATGATTCTAGTTTAAAAAAACAGATGCACATACATTTGTATTTATATCCTCAAGGGGAAAGTATTAAAGGTACACACCAAACTACATCAGAAAGCAAGTTTGGAAATGGAGACTTAATTCTACCTTAGACATGTCAATATTTTTGAAATTTACTATGAGCTTGCATTTCTTTTTTACTCAAATAAGTGAAATAAGAAATGTTAGATCTTCTGAATTATAAGTGCGACAACATAAATGGGGGAAATGAGATACAAAAGAGGAAATGCCCAAAGACAAATCAATCATCTAGAAGTCTGACTGGTAGTCAACTGTAACAGGTCTTAGCTGTGTTATTTTAATTCATTGTAGGGTCCCTGGTTATATCATGTAGCATCAGAAACCTTCATTAAAACTGGTTATTCATTCATTAGAAGTCCTGATTAGGAGTTTTATGTTATTAATTAGCAAAAAAGGGAGAAAGTGAATTTTTATTCCATTGAGGCATCATAGTAGCCAAGAAGGGCAACATACTTAACAAAAACACAACAGAAAAAAGGTGTCTCAGATGCAGAAAGATTGGCAATCAAGGTTGACAGCGTTGTGCTGCTTTCCCTCCCGAGATCCCAGCGGGGCCAAGTCAGAGGGAACCCACTGGCCTGTCGCACAGCAGTCCACTCACCGTTGTAGCAAGCCCAGTGCAGCGGCGTGTAGCCCTGGTTGTCCTTGAAAGAGCAGTCTTCCTCTGACAGGGCCATCTGCAGCAGCTCGCTCAGCCACGTGGCGTGGCCGCGGGCCGCGGCGTAGTGCAAGGGGGTCCTCCCTCTGGCATCTTTGCAGAGAATTGAGACTTCCTCCTCCAGCAGCATTTGCACACATTCCTCATGACCCGACATGATCTAATCGATTGCATTGGAAACACAAAACAAAGGTCAGAAGGGCAGCCGGCTCGGGATGTGAAGCGGGCGGTCAGTCAGAGGACATGCGTGCCCGGGCCTCACGGAGGACAGCCCAGCCCGATGCATAGCAGAAAAGCCCGTGTGGACATCAGCACGTGGGAAACACCTCGACTCTCCAGACATAACCATGAAAGGTACGACGATATAGTGGGACACAGGAGCGTTAGAATCAGGAAGGTGTGAGCTAAATCCTGGCTTCCCCTGGTAAAGCTTGGACACGTCAATTCACCTCTCTGCCTCATTTCATTTACCTGTACCTGGGGATAGTCATGAGGACCCCATAGGTTGTTGTGAGGACTGACGAGATAAGGTACGTAAAGGCCCCAGCCTGTGGCATGGCCCACAGGAAGTCCCCAGGAAATAAGGACGAGGAGGATCACTTCGACCACTGAGAGTTCCTCTCCTGCTCACCGGCCATGGTGGTTGGCACCAGCCCCAAAGAGCACTTTTATTTCTGCTTCTGTTTGATTTCGTTTCCCCGGCATGCTTTAAAAAACAACTCAGCAGATGTATACAAAGAAATGTCACAGGATACATACTTCGGGTGGGGAATGGGTCAACAGTCAGACATAGCATGGCTATTCAACAGTAAGCAATCACTGGAATAAATTATGGCACCTGCATACAATGGACCATTAAAAATGATAGAGCAGGAAAATATTTACTGACATGGAAAAGGTCCTTGATATTCTAAAAGAAAAAAAGTAGGTTCCAAATAGTATCTTCAGTATTCTCTTTTTAAATTTTTTTTTTTAAATAAATCTGCCCTGACCGGTTTGGCTCAGTGGATAGAGCGTCGGCCTGCAGACTCAAGGGTCCCTGTACCTTGGTTGCGGGCACATCCCTAGTAGGGAGTGTGCAGCAGGCAGCTGATCGATGTTTCTCTCTCATTGATGTTTCTAACTCCCTATCTCTCTCCCTTCCTCTCTGTAAAAAATCAATAAAATATATTTAAAAAAATAAATCTATATACAGTAAAGAAGATTTGGTATATAAACCAAAAAAATGGTTATCTCCAGGAGGTAGGATTACTAATGATTGTAGCTGTCTTCTCCATGCTTTGAAAAAATACTTTGCAAATTTTCTATGCTGTGCAAGTATTTTGTTATCTGAAAGTAGAAGCAAGTCTACCAACAGTAGGAGTTTGTGGTTCTGTTATCACAATCGACCATGAAATCGCAAGAGCAGGACCTCAGAGTACCTGCCACTATTTTCCTTTTGCAAAAGATTTTATAATTTCTTTTAGGCCGATTGAGGTTCATTGGTTATCCTAGGAAACAACCTTTTCACTAAAAACTCATATGGGAAGTAAAGAGGAAGTGTTCTCATTACACGACGGCTTGACTGCGGCTGAGGAAGACGTACATACCCCTCTGTGCAAAGCTGTGCACCCCATGATGTCAACAGCATCTACATTTGCTTCCTTTTCAAGTAACAGTGAGACAGCATCAATGTGTCCATATGCTACTGCCAGCATCAGTGGGGTTCTAGGAGAGAGAAAGATTGGCTTTTTAGAAGAGAATTAAAACAAAATACTCATTACTTCCAGTGGGAGGAACTCCTCTTTGTCATTCTGTCTGTCTCTATCTGTCTCCATCTCTCTCTCTCTCTCCCTCTCTCTCTCAATATATATATATATATATATATATATTAGTACATATGTCTCTCTCTGCCTCTGGCATCTAATGGCCACCTGGAATGGTGTCAGTGGGATGACTGATGTGGGTGGGGCCAGGAAAGGCTCCTTCTCAGGATGGTCACTGTGATCCCATCATTTCCAGAAGCATTTCGAAATATCAACCGAGCAGGGAGTGCATGCGTGAAGGAGACCCTCTCGCTCCTATCGGAGTAGTTTGACCTTCACAGAGTTCTGCGTTGGCGTTTGCTCAATGTTTCACTTGACCAAAGCTTGCTGCCTTCCAGAAAAGCCTGGCCAACACAGAGGGAAGAGCAGAGAGCTGGGGCCAGGAGGGGGCATCCTAGCTCCCACTTCAACACTGACTCACATGCCAGGGGTGAGGCACTCGTGCTGGCTCCGCCTTTCCTATCTGTAAGAAGACTGGGGGAGGGAACAGGTCATCAGGTGGGAAGGACTTGGGAAAAACAAACCCAAGGAAGGAGGCAAATATGAAGGATTTTTATGATGGAGATAACTTCTTGAAGCCATTGCCATTGTTAATGTGAACATGAACTTGTAGCAGCTTCAAAAGAGGGTAAAATGGGGAGGAAGAAGGAGCCAAGGAGGACTATTTTTCAAAGGCCAGGGTACATGGCCCTAGGCATACGAAGTTGGCTCTTTTTCATCAACACACACACACACACACACACAC